CGATTGTTGCTGTTGTTGTAGCGTCGCTAGGTGTGAAAGGCGAACTCTGGTACTGACGCTTTCTTCTTATGTCGTTCTTCTTGCAGGTCCATGTCCTGCTGCTCGGCATGGATTTCGGTGCAGAGTGCTGCTTCGGAGATTCTCCCGTGTGCTCGTAGTATGGCGCGAGTGGAGCGCCAGTGAGGGCCGAGACCGCCGATGACAACCGTGACGAAGGCGTCTTCTGAAATTGATCCTCCGCACCGAAGGAGCCTGTCGCGCAGCTCGCGGCAGCGACTGATATACTCCATGCCTTTCTCGCCTGGTTTCATTTCTATTGTTGTCAGCTGCGCCATTAACCTGCTTTGGTTGACACTGTCTGTTGCTTAATACAGGTTCTTCAAGTGGTTGTACGCGAGCTCCGCGGAGTTGCCGTAACCTCGGTAAGGCCGTATGTTCTGCTGTTGAGTTGGGGTGATGTTCCTCAGTAGTATTGTGTACGCCATCATCGATTGATAAGTATACTGCTGCTTCTCATACTGTGTGCCATTTGTTGGATATGGCAGGGACCCGTCGAAGAAGCCAAGGATCTGCGCTCCTTCCATCATCAGCTCGAATTCAAAAGACCAGGTGAAGAAGTCTTTTCCGTCAAAAGGCTTTGTCGTTTGCAGTTTTAGAACATGCGCGAATTGCGACTGGACTTGTAATGCGTCCAGTGCTCTCTCTTGTCCCGGTGCAGGTTGTGGTTGCGGCATAAAGCTGACGGAGCCACGTTGGGGCTCGTACGGAGCAAAGGTAGGTTGTTGATGTTGATTCCCGCGTGCGTAGGATGAGCCATCGAGACTCATAGGCGTCACGTTGTTGTTGTTGTTGTTGTTGTTTGATTGCGCAGGTGCTCCTTGCTGGTGCTGCTCGTAGAAGGACATGAAGGAGAAAAATTTCTCCATCATGCTTGGATCGAAGCCCGCGCCTTGGTTTGCGGGTGTTTCCGTAGACCCAGCTGCTGGTCTCGTCGTTGTCCCCTCTTCTGTCTGTAGACTAGAGGCAGGAGGTGGAGTAGGGGTAGTACCGGGAGAGCCGTTGGAGGAGCTCCTCTCCTTTCTAGCAGACATGTCTTCTTGATGTATTGAGTGTTGAAGGGTAATAACTTTTAACTCTAACTGCTCTCATACCATGTTGGGCTGAAACGCCCTAGGATCTTTGTAGAGTTAAAGTCTGAGTAGATGTTGTAATAGCGGAAGCATTGAATAAAGTCCTTGAACCACCTTGCGCTAGTATGTGAGGGCAAATTAAGTTGATTAAAGCAAAGAGATACAAGAATATAAATAGATGAGTACAGAGAATATGAAGAGACATTATAACTACTTTTACTGTTCCGGTTCGATACAGTGCGACTCGGGCAACTGCTCAATGTCGAGTCAGTTGTTTGTCCTTGCTGTCGCGCTGCGTGTCAAAGGTCGCTGACCTTTGACTTTCTCGTAACCTCCGACGGTTACGTTAACCACCAAGGGTTGACTCGCGATGCTTCGACTTGAGCTGCTTCGCTTTGTGTCTTGAGTTCTGACATGACAGAGGCGCTTAACTTATTTGTTCCCAACAAGGAGGTCCTCCTTACAAAAGTGCATGTACATCCCTGAAATTTCGGCTGCGCAGATACTCGGTGAGGATGGGGTGGTTTTCGATTCTGTCCAGGGGAACCCAATTGTCTTCGGTGGGTGTACGGTCTTTCCAACGGAGTAAGAACTCGATCCTTCGGGCTCCTCGAGGGTCGCGAACTCTGTGACTCAGGATTTTCTCGGGGGTGATGATTGGTTCAGTTGGTGGTCTTGTCATGCTGGCTGGGCGATTGCGTGGCAGTTGGCTTGTGGACGGGACGTAAGGGCGAAGTAGGCTGACGTGGAATGAGGGGCTGACGTACCAGTCAGTAGGGAGGAGGAGGTGGGCGGTGACGGGTGTAAGCATGTGGCTTATGCGAAATGGCCCGCAGTATCGGGGGCGGAGTTTCGGGGTGATGGGCAGTCGGAGGTTCGGAGTGTCAACTAAAACTAAGTCGTCGGGCTGGTAAGTGACAGGTCTGCGGTGGCGGTCGGCGTTGCGTTTAGCGATGATGTTCGATTTTTTTTATTGCGTCTACTGCCCGGGTCCGTGCCGCTTGTAATATTTCGGCGAACTGTTGTGCTCGTGGTACTGGGTTGTCGGTATTCTGGGTCATGGGTACTGTCGGGTCTTGTCCGTAGTTTAGGTAAAATGGTGACTGTTGGGTCGTGGCAGATGGCGAGTTGTTGTACGCGAATTCGATTAGTGGCAGTTGCTGTTCCCACGTGGTCGGGTTGTCACACGTGACCCTGATGAGCGGTTCCATGGTCTGATTTGTCCGTTCTGACTGTCCGTCGGTTTCGGGGTGGTATGATTAACTGAACTGTAGTCGCGTGCCGAACTGCTGCCACATGTTCCGCCAGAAGTTGCTGGTGAATTTCGTATCGCGGTCGCTGATGATCGCGGCTGGTATCCCGTGCAGTCGAACGACGGTGGAGATGAAGAGGCGTGCTGTTTCTTCAGCTGTGATCGATTTTTTGCAGGCTGGGAAATGTGCCATTTTCGTCAGTCGATCGACGACGACCAGGTTTGCGTCGTTCCCATCGCCCCGGCTGGTAACCCCGTGACGAAGTCCATCGTCACCTTCTGCCAAGCACGTTCTGGGGGTGGTATTGGCTGCAACTGTCCCGCCGGCCGCTGTCGTGATGATTTCATGAGCTGACAAGTGGGACACGATGCCATGTGTCGTTGTACGTCGGTCAACATTTCGGGCCAGTAATAATACCGCTGCAGCTGCTGCCGTGTTTTTTCTACTCCGAAATGCCCCGAGGTAACTCCGTCGTGTGCCTCCTGTAATAGTAATTCCCGAAGCAAAGTATACCTAGGCACCTAGATGCGGTCAGTCCCGGTTTTTACGTAATAGACTCCCTTTGCTACTGCACACTGCTGCGAATTTCCTCCTGTGAAGAATGGATCCGTTTGGTACCCGTGGGTGAATAGGCCTTGTCTGGGCGAGTAGTATTGCGTAGATCTGGGCAGTGGGGCGGGTCAGTGCGTCGGCGATGTTCGAGGCTCCCTTTTTGTAAGTGACCGTGTAGTGAAAGTTGGACTCGAGGAAATCGAGCCAGCGAATCTGTCGTGGGTTGAGGTGTGGCTGTGCGCGAAGGTACTGTAGTGATTTATGGTCTGTCCGTAATGTCACGTCCACGCCAGTCAAGTAACAGCGCCATACTTTGAACGCTTGCACGATTGCAAGCATTTCGCGGTCGTGTATTGGGTAATTTTTCTAAGGCGGATGCAGTTTTCGTGACTCGTATGCGATAGGTTGTAGGCCATTGCCAAAATCCTGTAGCAGTACGGCTCTGATGGCGATATCGCTTGCGTCGGTAACTACTTCGAATGGGCGGTGTAGGTCGGCGATGCGCAGGACGGGCGGTGAACAGAGAACATTTTTCAGGGCAGAGAAGGCAGCATGCTCTTTCTCCCCCCACGTAAAAGCCACCCCCTTTCGCAGTAAATCCGTCAGTGGGGCAGTTAACCGTGCCATATCGGGGACGAACCGACGCACTTAATTAACGAACCCTAAAAAGCTCTGCAGCTCCGTGATGTTCGTCGGGGGATGCCACGCTTTTACCGTATCCAGCTCCTAGGTGCTAGCGCGTCTGCTGCTCTAGGTCCTGGTGAGGCTGCTGCCCTAGGTGCTAGTGCGTCTACGTCTGCTTGCACCGCACCTACTGAGGCACTGCACACCTTGCTGTCTGGACTCAGGTGCCTCCCGCTGTTTCTTTCGTGACCGCACTGCCCTAGAGCAGCTTCCTCGACCGGTTGCTGTCTCTCTGGCTGACCCCTCAGGGGGTCCGGTCCTTGCGACCTCCACCACTGCCCTCCCTTGTCCTGCTGTCCCGTCTGGCACGCTGTCGGGCCTCTACCTCCCCTCGTTCTCTACGAACTTGGTGGCGGGTTCCGCACTTCAAGACGCGGGTGTTCACCAGTTCACCCCGGCCTACGAGCGTGTGACGCACTGCACGTGTGCGCGGACGGGACGTCACCTCACTACCTTCACTCGGCAGCCGGGGTCGGACCTGTACACACTTACCACTGAGTCTCCTCAGGTAGCTGCGTCTGCGTCTAGGTCAGGTCAGCTGTCTGCCCCCTGCTCGTGTCGCTCCCTGTCACACAGGACTGTCCTCTGGCACCACCGCCTTGGTCACCCGTCAGTGCAGCGCCTTCGCGGCATGCACTCCAGGTACCTTGTCTCTGGTCTTCCCAGGGTTCTCCCTCCCCTCCCACCCTCGCTTGCTCCTCCCTGTATTCCCTGTGTTGAGGGGCGGCAGCGCGCCGCTCCTCACTCCTCCTCGTTCCCTCCCACAGAGGCTCCCCTGCAGACTCTCCACCTGGACGTGTGGGGCCCCGCCCGCGTCCGGGGACAAGGCCACGAGCGGTACTTTCTGCTGGTCGTCGACGACTACACGTGCTACACCATGGTCTTCCCCTTGCGTACCAAGGGTGAGGTCCCTGATGTCTTGATCCCCTGGATCCGCGCTGCTCGTCTCCAGCTCCACCAGCGGTTCCAGTCGGACTTTCCTGTCCTACATCTACACTCTGACAGAGGTGGCGAGTTTTCCTCTGACTCTTGGCAGCCTACTGTGCGGAGCACGGCATCCGCCAGACGTTCACTCTCCCGGCCTCTCCGCATCAGAATGGGGTTGCTGAGCACCGCATTGGTCTAGTCATGGAGGTCACTCGTACCTCCATGATCCATGCGGCTGCCCCCCATTTCCAGTGGCCGTTTGCAGTGCAGTACGCCGCGCATCAGCTCAACCTCTGGCCCCGTGTCTCTATTCCGGAGACCTCGCCTACCCTGCGTTGGACGGGGAAGGTTGGCGATGCGTCGGTGTTCCGAGCCTTTGTTCGCGATACGTCCGTGGACAAGCTTGTCATGCATATATGCTCTAGTCTATGTAGGCTGTAGTGGGGCAGTTCATATGGGGTACAACACTTTAGGGTTTGCTACTTGTACTCCTCATTCTGCTCAATGCATTCATTCTCTCGTTCTAATCTTCACATGGTATAGAGCTGGTTCCCTCGTGGGAACTGTTCCTAGGGCCCACCGATTTTTTTTCCTGCCCGGAGCGCGCTTGGCCCCTGCCCGAGTCGCGCCGCGTGTCGTTCCCCCTCGAGGCCTCTAGCGGCCCCCTCTTACGGCCCCTAACGGCCCCGTCGCGCCGCCCTTGCGGCCCCTAACGGCCCCGTCGCGCCGCCCTTGCGGCCCCGTCGCGTCGTCCTTGCGGCCCCGTCGCGTCGCCCTTTAAGCAGCCCCGTCGCCGCCTCTTACTCCGGCCCCGTCGCCGCCCTTAGGCGGCCCTGTCGCCGCCCTTTTAGCGGCCCCATTGCCGCCCTTTCAGCGGCCCCGTCGCCGCCCTTCCACGAGCTCGCCGCCCGCCCTTGCAGCGGCCCCGTCGCCGCCCTTCCGCGGCCCCCGACGCCGCCCTTCTGCGGCCCCGTCGCCGCCCTTCAGCAGCCCCGTCGCCGCCCTTCTGCAACCCCAACGCCGCCCTTTCAGCGGCCCCGTCGCCGCCCATTCAGCGGCCCCGTCGCCGCCCTTTCAGCGGCCCCGTCGCCACCCACCCTTTCAGCGGCCCCGTCGCCGCCCTTCCGCGGCCCCGTCGCCGCCCTTCCGCGGCCCAATCGCCGCCCTTTCAGCGGCCCGTCGCCGCCCTTTCAGCGCCCGGTTGCCGCCCTTTCAGCGGCCCGTCGCCGCCCCTTTCAGCGGCCCCATTGCCGCCCTTCCACGGTCCCGTCGCTGCTCAGCCGCCCAGCGCCCGAGCCGCCGAGCAGCCCAGCCACCGAGCAGCCGAGCCGCCGAGCAGCCGAGCCGCCCGACCGCCGAACCGCCCTGCAGCCAAGCCGCCCGACCGCCGAGCCGCCGAGGAGCCGAGCCGCCCGACCGCCGAGCCGCCCTGCAGCCGAGCCGCCCAGCAGCCGAGCCGCCGAGCCGCACCGCAGCCGAGGCGCTGCCGCCTGTCGGCCTGCCCGGGACCGCCCCACTCGCCTGGAAAGAGCAGCGTCTCTGCCACTGCACTGCCCTGCCCCACTGTAATCACTGCCTGTCTACTGTTGTCATGGCCTCCCCTAGTGTTCTCACCTTTGACGCTGAGGGTCAAGCAATCGACTTTGAGGTCTGGGTAGATGATCTGCAGCTTTTCCTACAGTGCGATAGGGCAGACGGTCTCTCCCTCTTTGACCTCACTTCTGGTGCCTCACCTGCCCCTGCTGCTGATGCTAACGCCACTGTTCGCTCACAGTGGGCCACGCGTGATGCTGCTGCTCGCCTTGCTGTGCGCCGCCACTTACTGACCACTGAGCGTGCACACTTTAGCCAGTACAAGAGTGCTCAGACTTTGTACGACGCTGTAGTTGATCGCTACTCTTCCCTTGCCACTGCTGCACTGAGCCGCCTCATGCTACCGTACCTCTTTCCTGACCTTGCTGCCTTTCCCACAGTTGCTGACCTCATTACGCACCTCCGCACTAGTGACACTTGCTACCGCGCTGCGCTTCCTGCTGAGTTATGCGCCAAGAACCACCCCCCCATGTACATCACCCTCTACTACATAGACACCCAGCTCCCTGACTCTCTCCGCGTAGTCAGGGACCACTTCCTCTCAGTTTGCCCCACCACTCTCACCGTTGACCTCCTTGAGAAGGCCCTCCTAGCAGCAGAGAAGAGTATAGTCGGTGTAGGAGCCTCTCGTGGTGACCATCGCACCCCCGTCTTTAAGGGGTGTTCTCCCTCCCCCCTCTTGCCCTCTGTTGCCTCTGTTGCTGCGGCCGACCTCGTTGGTTTCGAGTCGGTCGGCGCTGCGTCTGCCCCGAGCGGGAGACCCCGCACCGGCAAGGGCAAGGGGGGCAAGGGCGCTGGAGGGGCTGGAGGGGGCGGTGGAGATGGTGGTGGAGGCAGTGGAGGGAGTGGGGGTGGTGGTGGGAGTGATGCCAGGGTGGCGGCGGCGGCGGCAGCAGTGGAGGCGGCGGTGGCGGTGGTGGTGGCGGAGGGAGCGGAGGCGGCGGAGGTGGCGGAGGTGGCGGAGGAGGCGGAGGTGGAGGAGGCGGCAGAGGCGGCGGCGACGGCGGTGGTGGAGCGGGTCGCGACTCTGCGCAGAGGAGTGGCTCAGGTGGTGGTCCGCGCCAGCAGCAGCGGAGTGGTGTGACCCTGTTCCTCAGTAGCTTCGTGAGTGGTACACTGCGCGTCAGCGCGGTGGGGGTTTTGGTCCCTGCACTTACGTCCTCCGTACTGGCGACCGAGCTGGTGAGCAGTGCGGAGGCCCGCACTCCACCTGTTATGTGATGCTATCATTTGCATTCACGTCTGTCTGCCTCCCATCATGTGTTCGTGCGTTGCATGTGTGAAATGAGCGTGCGCAAGAATTTGTGTTTTTCTGTGGTTTGGATTTTCTGAGTGTGTGTGAATGTTATTTGGCTTGAGCAGATATCTGAAGTGACTCCACTGCTCAAGAGCTTTCCGACGAACCAAGTATCGCTTCAATCGGAGCACGAACAAGAAAGTTACGAACGTTGGAGTTCGTATGCTTTTGATATTTGGTTGTGGTGACTATGGGGAGTTGTGGGGTTGACTCAATATGGGGTACAGACTTTTGGGGGTTGGGAAATTCGTCTTTTCTACTGTAGTTGCTGCCATGTGGTTGGGAGAAACCAAACCAGGTTGGCAAGTGTGGCCAAGTTGGGTTAAGGTGGATGGCATGGGTTGGGAAAGTGACAAAAGTGAAAGTGGGGTTTCCTATGGGGAAGGGAATTGTGTGGCATGGAGTTTTCCTTGGTTGGGGACTCTCTCTTGGGACCTTCCCTCTCGTCCTCCTCTTTCCTCCTACCTGGTTTAGTGCTACCCTAACTCTCTTGTGTGTAACTTTGTGGAACTTGTGAGAACCATTGTGATTGAGTTAAGCATGTGGCAGCATACCCCCTAGTGCGCCGAAAATCATAACTCGAGATTTACTCCACCATTTGATACGATTCAAATTGGGAATTGTAGCCATAGACTAGAGCTACAACATATCTGAAATTCGTGAAGTGTTGACGGTGCGTTTTTCGTCGACGGCGTTTCTTGTGAACTCGACGATTCTGTCCAGAATTTCAAGCCAACGATTTTGAGAAATTTAGGCTCCTAATCTTCATTGACTCCGTCCTTAGTTTCTAACAAGTGGTATCAGAGCTGATTAAGGACCTTGTGGGGAGTCTACTGAAGTGTGAAGACCCTCCTAGACCCACCATGGCCTGTGGGCGTGCCTAAGTGGAGTTCTGGAGGTTGGATGTGACTTCCGCTAAGGGGAAACTCTGCCGAAATTTCGTTGGCGCCGTCACTTGTGAAAATATTGTGGATCTACATTGTGACCAGCAAAAGGGGGAGCTGAAACCTCTGATTGGGAGCAGAGGAGATGAGTGGAGAAGCAGCTGAGAAGAAGAGTGAACCGCCACCGTCCAAGATCGAGGCTTTGGACGGCTCCAACTACGAGGAATGGAGCGGGCGGATGCGGAGCGCTTTCAAGCGCTACAAGCTGCTGAAACTTGCGATGGGAGAAGAGAAGATGCCGGAGGAAGGTGATGCCCGCGACAAATGGATTGAGAAGAGCGCGGTGCTGTACGACCTAATCCTTCAATCGGTCAACAATGATATGTTCCAGCATATCAAGGACCTAGTGGAGCTGGACGACTCCGGGCCTAAGGCGTGGAAGCTGCTACGCGATGTGGTACAACCCAACACGCTGCCGATGGTGATCGTAATGGAGAAGGAGCTGGCTGCTCTCTCCATGAAGGCGGGAGACGATGTGAAACCGGTCCTTGACAAGATCAAGGACACCTATGCGAGGATGGCAGCGGCGGGCAGCAAGGTGTCGGAGATGCAGCAGTGCACCAAGATCATCTCGGTGCTCGACAACTCGTGGGACAACCTCATCCCCACCCTCAACGTTCAGCAGGACAAGTGGACGCCTGAGTGGCTACGGCAGCAGATCCTGCAGGAGGACTTCCGCAGGCGCCACATGGGAGATGGTGCTGCCAACAAAACTGCTGAGGGGTATGGAGCTGCAGGAGGCAGCAGAGGAAGAGGGGGAGGGAGAGGCCGAGGCCGTGGGAGAGGCTTTGGCAGAGGAAGAGGCCGAGGTGACTACAACGAGGGGCATAGGAGCTCTGGTGGCAGGGGGAGCACCCGAATGGAGGGAGCTTGCTGGTACCGCAAGAAGGCTGGACACCCGTGGTTCAAGTGTTTCAGCCGGCCTGAGGGATGGGCACCTCCAGGCATGAAGCCGCCAAGTGGTGAACGCGCACGAGGTGGTGCTGTGCAAGGTTCAGGTGCACAAGGTGATGGTGCACAAGGTAAAGCCGACCCTGGTATGTTCCTCATGGTTGAGGACGTGCAAGGGAGTGGGGGTGATGTGGGTTCAGTTGGGAAGGTTGTGATGCACCCCCTCACTCACTGGGTGATCGATTCAGGTTGCACGAGTCATATGACCCCACGGGCAGATTTGCTTGATGAGGTAAAACCTCCTGGGAAGATCAAGTTTGTGGCTGCCGCTTCAGGTGCTTTGCTCCCTGTGATTGGTGTTGGGAATGCTAAGGTGATGGGAGCCAATGGGGGGCTTGTGGGGCTGGGAAATGTGCTGTTGGTTGAAGGTTTATCCGCTAACCTCCTCTCTGTGCGCCGGCTGCAGAAAAGCAAGGCCAAAGTTACGTTCGGCCCAACCAGCTGCCGTGCAAAGCTTGGGAAGTTGCTGCTGTGGGATTTGGAGGAGAAGAGCAGCTGCATCAAGGACCTGTGGCAGCTGCCCATCATCCCTTGGAATGGGAAACCTCCAGCAATGGCAAAGGCAGCGGCAGCGGCTAAAGCAGCTGCGGGAGGAGAGGAGACTGCACCAACTGCTGGGGCCCTGGATGCAGTCAAGAAGGTGCAGCAGCCACAGCAATCACATGGTGAGGTGCTTGCTGGTGTGGATGCGACAGCTGCATGGGCAAAGGCTTCATCTGGGAGTGGTGAGGCTGATTGGGAGACGTGGCATGAGAGGCTGTGCCATGTGAACATTCCTATGCTGCAGAAGTTGGTAAAGGATGGGTGCTTGAAGGGGCTGGAGGTGAAGGGGGGAGAAAAGGAGATTGGGAGCTGCCCTACCTGCCTTGAGACCAAATTCACGAAGTTTCCCTTCAGCAGCAGCACAGGACCAGCAAAGGCACCACTTGCACTAGTGCACATGGATGTGGTGGGCCCCACGAGGGCCCTTTCTCTCTCGGGCAGCCGCTACTTCTTGACAATTGTGGACGACCACACGCGTGCGGTGTGGGTGTACCCTCTCAAGACTAAGGGGGAGGTGGCAGCGGCTGTTCTTAAGGAGTGGATGCCGAGAGCACAAAGGGAGAGCGGACACAAGGTGAAGGTGATCCGCACTGACAACGGAGGAGAGTTCATCGGCGCTGATTTTGAGAAGGAGCTGAAGCGGAAGGGGATCCAGCATCAGCTCACAGTGCCTTACAACCCTCAGCAGAATGGCGTGGCTGAGCGGTTCAACCGGACCCTGCAGGAAGGTGCTCGCACTCTCCTTGGGCGTGCAGGGCTGCCGGATCCGTTTTGGGTGACAGCACTGCGGCAGGTCGTTGTTGTGAAGAACCGGGTGCTGGCGACTGTGGGGGACAAGCAATGGGTCCCCTACACCAAGTGGTATGGGAGTGCGCCTGCAGTCAACATGCTGAGAACTTATGGCTGCATGGTGGTGTTTCATGTGCCTAAGGAGAAGAGGGGAAAACTGGAAGCTTCTGGGAGATGGGGTGTGCACTTGGGGCTTGCTAAGGATCACAAGGGCTGGCTGATTTGGGACTTGACCAGCCAGCAACTGACTGTGTCGAGGGATGTGAAGTTCCTTGAGTCCTTGTACTACAAGGAGTGGAAGCAGCAGCAGCAGAAGCTTCCCACTACACCGCTGATCATTGAGGCTGATGAGGTGCAGCGGCCTTCGAGGCAAGTGCAGGTCACTGTCTCAGAGGAGGAGATTTCTGGGGTGACTGAGGATGGGGGAGAACCTGAGGTGGAGGAGCAGCAGCAGCAGCAGCCGCAGCAGCAGCAGCAAAATGCTCCACAAGGTGCCGCACGTTCGTCTGACCGTCCTAGGAGGGATGTGTGCCCTCCTAACCGGCTGACCTATGCGAGCCGTGGCACGCCAAGTGTGGTACCGGCTGGAAGTGTGGCTGAACAGATGGATGAGGATGAGATAGCGTATTGCTATGGAGCTGCAATGAGATGGTTTGGTGGATAGTGTTTTGAAACAGACGCTGCAGAGTGTGCTACAGATTTGAGCAAAGAGGAGATGTTGGAAGTGGGATGTTGGAAGGAGATGATTGTCCATTGAGATGAGTGTTGGAAGTGAATGAAGCTTGCGGGAATGAATGTGCATTGAGGGTGCATGCTTGAGCTATGGCATGTGGGATGATGGTTGGCAGCCAGAGGGGGAGTTTGTTATGTGATGCTATCATTTGCATTCACGTCTGTCTGCCTCCCATCATGTGTTCGTGCGTTGCATGTGTGAAATGAGCGTGCGCAAGAATTTGTGTTTTTCTGTGGTTTGGATTTTCTGAGTGTGTGTGAATGTTATTTGGCTTGAGCAGATATCTGAAGTGACTCCACTGCTCAAGAGCTTTCCGACGAACCAAGTATCGCTTCAATCGGAGCACGAACAAGAAAGTTACGAACGTTGGAGTTCGTATGCTTTTGATATTTGGTTGTGGTGACTATGGGGAGTTGTGGGGTTGACTCAATATGGGGTACAGACTTTTGGGGGTTGGGAAATTCGTCTTTTCTACTGTAGTTGCTGCCATGTGGTTGGGAGAAACCAAACCAGGTTGGCAAGTGTGGCCAAGTTGGGTTAAGGTGGATGGCATGGGTTGGGAAAGTGACAAAAGTGAAAGTGGGGTTTCCTATGGGGAAGGGAATTGTGTGGCATGGAGTTTTCCTTGGTTGGGGACTCTCTCTTGGGACCTTCCCTCTCGTCCTCCTCTTTCCTCCTACCTGGTTTAGTGCTACCCTAACTCTCTTGTGTGTAACTTTGTGGAACTTGTGAGAACCATTGTGATTGAGTTAAGCATGTGGCAGCATACCCCCTAGTGCGCCGAAAATCATAACTCGAGATTTACTCCACCATTTGATACGATTCAAATTGGGAATTGTAGCCATAAACTAGAGCTACAACATATCTGAAATTCGTGATGTTTTGACGGTGCGTTTTTCGTCGACGGCGTTTCTTGTGAACTCGACGATTCTGTCCAGAATTTCAAGCCAACGATTTTGAGAAATTTAGGCTCCTAATCTTCATTGACTCCGTCCTTAGTTTCTAACACCACCCAGCGCTTCTTCGGTCGCCTGACGGACGAGTGGCGTTGCCAGTTCCCTGAGGCGTTAGAGATCCCTCGCTGGGGAGATCTGTCTAGGGCGGGGGTTGCCGTCTTTGATCTTGACTATGATGCTATCCTTGCTGCCATGTATTCTGTGACTACTAGTGTTGAGGGTGACTGTTACCTGTGTGTACCGCCTGACCCGGGCATTGAAGCTGCTGCTCTAGGTGCTAGTGCGTCTGCTGCCCCAGGTGCCAATGCGTCTGCTGCCCTAGGTGCCAGTGCGTCTGGTGCCCCAGGTGCTGGTGAGTCAGCTCTCTCAGGTACTTTGTCGGCTCAGGCCTTCCACACCTTCACCCTTGACTCGGGTGCGTCCCGCTCCTTCTTTCGAGACCGCACCACTCTTACGCCGCTCAGTCGGCCGGTTGCAGTCTCCCTGGCGGACCCCTCTGGAGGTCCTGTCCTTGCTAGCTTCTCCACTGTCTTACCGTGCCCGGCAACCCCCTCTGGCACCCTGTCAGGTCTCTACCTTCCCTCGTTCTCTACGAACTTGGTGAGTGGAGCGGACCTACAGGATAGGGGGGTTGACCAGTTCACTCCTGCGAGTCAGCGAGTGACCCACTGCACGTGTGCTCGGACAGGCCGACACTTGGCCACGTTCACCCGTCGGCCAGGGTCGAGCCTCTACACCCTTACTACTGAGTCTCCTCCGGCTGCTGAGTCTGCCCAGGTAGCTGCGTCGAGTCAGGTGTTTACTGCAGCGTCCAGGTCTGGTCCTGAGTCTGCTCCCTGCTCCTGTCGTCTCCTGTCCCACCAGACTCTCCTTTGGCACCACCGCCTTGGTCACCCCTCCCTGCCTCGTCTTCGAGGCATGGCCTCCCGTGTCCTTGTCTCTGGTCTCCCACCTGGGTGGCAGTTTTACCACCCCACCTCGCGCCGTGTTCTGTCCTCCCAGGACGTCACCTTTGACGAGTCGGTACCTTACTACCGTCTCTTCCCCTACCGCACTGCGCCTCTCCCCCCGCCGCCGCTCTTCCTTGCACCAGGTCCTCCCCCGGTAGACCCTCTCCCCCCTTAGGGTCCTGCCCCGTTAGGTGTGTCCCAGGTAGACGCAGTCGAGCCTGTCGAGGTAGCTGTTGACTCTGGTGCTGCTAGAGGTGCTGAGCCTGCGGGTGCCGGGTCTGGGGGTGCGGAGACTGGGGGTGCGGAGCCTGGAGGTGCGGAGCCTGGGGGTGCTAAACCTGGGGGCGCTGGGTCTGCTCGTGTGGCCGCCGGCGGTGCTTCGTCGAGGCGGGAGCCACTCTCTCCACAGGAGCTGCGCGAGTGGTTTACCCGCCGCTGGAGACGTGCTGCTGAGTCTGGGGGTGCTACTGGAGCTACTGGAGTTGGTCCCGCTGGAGCTGTTGGCGGTACTAGTGCTGCTGGAGCTGGAAATGCTGGGGGTGTTGGCGTTGGTGTTTCTACTGGCGCTGGTGCGTTTGGGGGTGCTGCTGAGGCTGCTGGAGCTGACGGTCCTACATAAGTTGGTGCTGCTGGAGCTGGAGCTGCTGGGGGTGTTGGCGCTGGTGGTGGTGCTGGCGCTGGTGCTTCTGAGGGTGCTGGAGTTGGCGCTGTTGGAGCTGGAGGTGCTGCTGGCGCTGGTGCTGCCACTGGGGGTACTGGTGCCGTCCTTGCTGGCTCTGGAGGCGCTGCGCGGCCGAGGCCGTACTTCGTTCCGCTCCTGGAGCAGGTTCTTGGTCTCCCGCCCTCTCTTGGTCGTGCCCCCCCCTTAGCGTGTCCACAGCCTGTCCAGTCCCAGTCATAGTTACTGCCCGCCTCCCCTCTACCTGCTCCTTCTCCCTACACTGGTCCTACTGGAGGTCTTGCTGAGCGTCGTGAGCCTACGTCTCGTCCTGCGTCGCCTGTTCGTACTGCTCGCACTAGTGGTCGTGCTGCGCGTCCGCGTCCTCCTGCAGTCCCCTGCACACACCAGATGGCGCTGCGTCCTTCCACTGCTCCTTTGCGTGTCCCGTTGCCGTCTCCCCCAGAGTCCTCTCTTCCTACTCTTGCTGGCCCGGAGTCTGACTCTCTTCGTGTTGCTAGTCCTTCGGTCACGCGCCTCCTTGCTACTATTGTCACTGACCCTTCCGTCGAGTCCACTGCTGCGTCTGCCCTAGTTGCTGAGCTTGTCGACTTCGCTGCTCGCTGTCGTCTAGACTACACTGCTAGTCTCGTTGCTGAGTCTGAGTCTGTCTGTCCTCCGTCTGTCGGGGGTGAGTGTGCTCTTAGCACAGACGTCCTTGAGGACAGGCAGGAGGAGTTCCAGTGCTTTGCTGCTGCTTCGCCCCATCTCGTGTCCACACTGATTGCCCCTGAGGAAGACCCGGATGCACCAGACATCCCGACTCCTCGATCGTACGTTGAGGCGATCGAGGGTCCCTACTCCTCTCAGTGGTAGTCAGCCATGGACGCAGAGATGGCTTCCTGGAAGTCCACAGGCACCTACGTCGATGAGGTTCCCCCACCTGGGGCGAACATCTTCAGTGGCATGTGGATTTTCAGGGTGAAGCGGCCGCCGGGTTCTCCGCCTGTCTTCAAGGCGCGTTACGTGGCTCGAGGCTTCAGTCAGCGAGAGGGAGTAGACTTCTTTCAGACCTTCTCCACCACCCCGAAGATGACCACTCTTCGGGTGCTACTACGCGTTGCTGCTCAGCGTGACTACGAGCTTCACTCTCTTAACTTCATCACAGCTTTCTTGCAGGGCAGTCTGCACGAGGAGATCTGGCTGCGCCGCCCTCATGGCTTCACAGGGTCGTTTCCTCCTGGTACCCAGTGGAGCCTCCGCTGGCCGGTCTACGGTCTCCGCTAGGCACCACGTGAGTGGCACGACACACTGAGGACCACTCTTGCGGCACTTGAGTTCGCTCCTTCTACTGCTGACCCGTCACTATTTCTATGCACCGACACTTCTTTGCCACCGTTCTACATCCTCGTGTACGTCAACGACTTGGTCTTTGCCACTGCTGACACTGAGGCTCTCGCCCACGTGAAGTCGGAGCTGCAGAAGAGACACACGTGCACTGACCTGGGTGAACTGCGCAGCTACCTTTGCTTGGATATCACCTGGGACAGAGCACGCCGCACCATTACCCTGACTCAGTCACACATGGTGCAGCAGGTCCTTCAGTGCTTCGGCTTCACCTGGTCCTCAGCACAAGCCACTCCTCTGGCTGTAGGTCACTCTCTCTCAGCTCTGCCTTTGGATGAGTCCGTAGAGTCGAGTGGTCCTTACCCAGAGCTAGTTGGTTGCCTCATGTACCTGATGACCTGCACTCGTCCTGACCTAGCATACCCACTTGGCCCTCTGTCCCGCTACGTAGCTCCTGGCAGGCACCGAAAGGTGCACTGGGATGCTGCAAAGAGGGTGTTGCGCTACTTGTGCAGTACATCGGGCATGGGGCTCGTGCTTGGAGGAGGGAGCTCAGTTGTTCTCACTGGGCACTCAGACGCTTCTTGGGTTGATGACCACGCTACTCAGTGGTCGTCACAGGGTTACACCTTCAACCTTGAATCTGGTTCAGTTTCGTGGCGCTCTACACGTTCGTCTTCAGTTCTCAACTCCAGTTGTGAGGATGAGATCTACGCCACAACCATGGCTTCACAGGAGGTACGGTGGCTCACCTACCTGCTGACCGGCCTTGGAGAGAGGCCTTGTTCTCCTCCAGTGCTGTACGTCGACAACAAGGCTGCCATTGCCTTGTGTGAGGAGCACAGACAGGAGCACAGAACGAAGCACATCGCTCTCCGTTACTTTCTTGCTCGAGAGCTGCAGCAGCGTGGTCAGCTTCGTCTGCGTTACGTTGCCTCTCAGGCCAACACTGGTGATATACTCACCAAGGCACTTCAGCCTGGTGATCATCAGCGCTTCTGTACTTTGCTGGGGCTGGTGCCCACTTTTCCTCGTTGTAGGCTTTGCCTGTACCGTGATCTCTATATATACTCCTGCTTGTTTGCTTTGCTAGGCTGAGATCACCCTTGTTGTTTGTACTAGATATATACTTCTGCATGTGAACTGGCCATGCGGCCGTTTGCTTGTGCTCGGAATATGTGGTGACGTCGTGATCCACCCTGAGCTTGCTTGCCTTTCCTGGCTGGTCTTGTGACCCCTTGCTCTCCCCCACTTTGCCTATGGGGTGTGTCAAACTCTACATGTGTTGTTGTTGTGTAGGCTATAGTGGTTTAGCCTTTAGGGGGTACACAAGCTCGATCTCATGAATTTTTTCTGTAACAGGTAATCTAACTGCTTCCTTAGTTCATCAAGCTCGGGCTGTGTCAGTCTGAACTGGCGCTGTACGGTTGGCTGTGCCCCCGGTTCTAATTCGATTCGGTGGTCATGTTCTCGCTGAGGTGGCAGTCCTTCCGGTAAGTCGTCGGGAAAAATCCCGGGGTATCGTTTCAACAGTTCCTGTAATTCGGGCGGTACGGCTGCCAGCAGTTTCTTGAAATCACTCGGCTGCTCCGCTTCCTCTACTACTGTGATGTCTACTACATACACGTCAGCTCCAGCAGCGACAACCCGTTTCATTGTGATGGCGTTGACGTGTACCGTTGAAGACTCGGGCGACCGCCAGCGAGGTAGCTCGACCCATTTACCACTACTTCACATGGTGCAGCTACCCGTCATCCAATCAATTCGCGGGTTATACCGTCGCAGCCAATCACGTCCCAGTAATATATCGTCCCCATCCAGTGTCGTTGCGAGCATTTCCTGTATAAACCCGAAATTTCCCCCGCAGCGGATTTTGACTCTCTCTACCTTTTCACGTATGGCCAATGGCGTGCCGTCGACTAAGCGTGCGTCTATCTCCGGTAAGCAACGGCTAAGTGTCAGCTATAGTTTTCGTGCTGTTGCGGTATTAACTAAACTGTGGCTTGCTCCTCCGTCGATAAAAATCTTCACTGCTGCTCCCTGTATTTTCACGTGGATCAGTACTAGGCAATCCGTCGCTGTACCCTCCTTATTCGTCCGAGTCCAATCGATAGCATGAATCGGTACTGTGACTCGGTGAGGGTCGGTGGGGTTGGGCGAGCACGCAGTCTCGTCAGTAGTTGGCTCGATTCCCACTGACTGCTGGCGTTTCCCTGCTTTGGAGACTCCCTCCCCTGCTCTGCTCCGCGGCGCCTTAGCTCCTCTGGGTATTCGCTCTTGCGGTGGCCCGGCCTGTTGCAAGCAAAGCAGCGCCCCTTAAACGGCGCGGCAGCTGCATTCGTCGCAACTGCGTGTACAGTGGCGTGCTCGATCGGTCCCCGAGGGCGATGTCCATAGTAGGACCCCGGTCTCGGACGGCGTAAAATGTCGATCTTCTCGGCGAGCGCGAGAATCTCGTTGAAGTTCGAGAGCCCGCGTAGCATGATTTCGTGCGAGATATCCGGCTTCAGCCCCCCGACGTAACGGTCCACCCGCTTCGTAACATGTAGCCGACTTGCTCGCATAATGCGAGAAAACCACTCGTATAGTCTTGAACCGATCCAAGCTGCGGCCAAGTGCGCAATCTCTGACGCGCCGAAATCGAAGCTGTCAAAGTTTAGAAGAAAGAAGAGAGTTGCACTAGCAAGAATGAGGATACAAATAGCAAACCCTAGAAGGGTTGTACTCGTTATAGAGCACCCCACTACAGGCTAGAGCATAATATTCTGACACACCCCCATAGCCGAAGTGGGGTGTAATCAGTAGAGCAAGCAAAGCAGTACAAGCTCAGGGTGGATCACAATGTCACCACACATTCTGAGCACAAATTCAAGAAGTAATAGTTTAAGTTCACAATTATGAGCAAAGCTAGTGGCTATCGCAGAGGGCATGTGTGGAGGAGGAGGGACTATGGGGAAGAGAAGATGGGAGGCGACTGCTGACGCTGCAGACACACAGACAAGTTGCTGGCTCAGTGGCTACCGGATCAGCGCTCCGGACTACTGGAGTAACTGGCCCCGCGGCTAAAAGTAGCGGCAGACGAGCAACAGACCCACGGGCGACTGGCGACTACCGGAGATTGTAGCCTCCGGAGTGCTGCTGGTGCTGACGACAAGACTGCTGCCTCCACTCAACCTCCCCCAGCTGCCCAACACCCCTCTC